TGGGGCGGGGGCGACAGCCAGCTGAAGTCATCTTGCAGCTTTTCTACTGAGTGTCCGCCCAGCCTCTGCGGGCGCGGGAGGGGCAGGTGCAGGTGTCCGAATTCCAAGGATTCTGCTACCCGAAGCTACTCAGCCACCCGAAGGCGCATAGGGATTTAGAAAGGACCTCCAGATTCCAAAAGCCGACCCTAGAAAAGGGCCCCTAACCCAGGGAAGGGAAGAGAGGTGTCTGGTCTTAGACCTTTCCTAGCTCACCAAAGAACGGTTTCCACAATTGTGCATTGAATAAGGGTTTTACAGGAGGCGGGCCTCGCCTCTGTCCTCTGCCTCTCCTAGAGGTGGATAGCATCATTCACTTGGTTGAAACTGGCCTGTCACCACTGTGGTCACAGACCTGCCGGTTGGAGCAGGAGAAAGGAGAGGACCAGCGTCTCTTTTTAAAATGATGTAATCCAGAAGTTGTCCAGATCAGCTCAACTCACATCCCGCAGACCTGAGCCTGGTCTCCTGACCTCTCCTCACTGCACAGTCATCTGGGAAGTGCAGCTCCCTCTGGTAGCCATGTTCCTTGCCAAATTCGCCTGGGGTGGGGGCCAGTTGTATTCCAAGGGCAGAGGGGGACATTGATACTGCGGAAGAGGCCCCTTTGCCTTGGAGGGCACCCCAAAGAGCAAGGCCTTATGTCCAGGAGAGGGGCCTGTTCAGAAGTAGGTGTGGTCAGGGGTTGGATGGGCAAAGGCAGAAAAATAGGCCATTTGGAATCGACTGTCCCTGGGTGAGCTTACATGGAGCATTTGGTGACAAAAACTGTCATGGTGTGAGGAATGAAGGGTAGAATGGGGCAGAACCTTACTAAATTATTCTCTTCAGAGTAGTACCAGGAGCAACTTTTTATTGTTATGCAAGTTTGTGTTGCAAAATGATGACTCCATGGAAGGGCTGATTTGAACCCCCAGAAATCTCAGACTACAGGAAGTGTGCGCGGAGATGGCTGTTTGTTAACACTGTCTGTTCAGGAAGCTCTCAGCAAAAAGAATACAGTCCCTGACAGAAAAAGAGGGAAAGACAGCTCATGGTTGAGAGCAGCCATTTCCTCCTTGTGTGGCGTGGTTGTCTTTCTGACCAGCTTTGCTCTTTTGAATTGGCAGTGCCCGACTGTAACACATGGGTGGTATCCTCGTATTCAAAACAGACCAAAACGAGGCTGGCAGCAGTGACACAGCAGTAACGCCAGCTCTGTGATGCTGGACCCATGTGGGAAGGTCCTGGGTTCATGTCCCAGGGTTTCCCTGTACACACTGGTGCATGTCTGTGATCTGGGTTAGAAGCGCATTGCAGTGTGAAAACCCTGTTAGGGGTGCTGGTCTCTCTCTCTCTTTCTTCCTCTCTCTGTCTCTCTTTCTCATGGAAGAAATAATTTTTTTTTTTTCGTAGAGAGTATTTTTTGCTATAAGGTATGTGTGCTTGCTAGAGACATAGACAGAAAGCGAGAAATCATCCTCTAGGGAGGATGGCCACCACAGTCCCTTCTCTCAGGATTTTGGGCACACACACACAGACGCCTGGCATAAGTTTTAAGCTGGCGGGTCTGGGATTCAAACCACGGTTGATGATGTGGGAGTCCAGTGGCATAACTTATGCCATTTGGTGGTCCCGGAAATGAAATCAACTTTAAAAACAGACAGATGTGACTATGCTGAGGTGGAGGCAGGGTGTTTGGCATTGCTGTTGTGCTCAAGCCTAGGGATGAGAAATAGCATCTACAGTATCCGAATGCTAAACAGTTTGCACAGATTCTGCAGATAATCAGTCAACTTGTTTTTTAAGATTTTTTTTTTCCCTTAGGATATGATGTGTGCTCACTGGGGGAGAGAGAGAGAGACAGAGACAGAGACAGTGAGGGGGCAGGTGAGAAATCACCCTGCAATACCTTCCTCTCCATTCTCTTTTCAGGATCTTGGGCACACACACACACCATAATTTTCAAGTCACCAGGTCCAGGACTTGAACTGCGGTCAGCCATGTAGGAGTCCAGTGATGTTACTGCTCTGCCATCTGCTGGCTCCAACATAGCCAAAATAGTTACATGCCATTATTGTTAGGAATATTTACCTTCTGCTTGAAGTGCACTGTGTGAAACTTAAGGAGAGGCTTATATAGCCTGGTGAAGGCCCAGGAATGC